AACAAAAAAAAAGAAAAAAAAAAAGAAATAATAATATTAACGAAACGTACGACTTTTTCCTACTTAACGAAAGAGTTTGGAAAAAGTATAATATCTAATTTTCAATATAATAAAATATATTCGCGTATTTATACACACAAAGATAGAAAGAATAAAAGAGAATGGGCAAAAGTAGACAAATAAAATTAGTAAGCCTTGTGTCAAAAATAATACAGAGATGATAGTCGTAAAAGTATTTAAAAAAGAAAAAAACAAAAAAATAAGAACATGATTGGCTTACACCATAATCTTTATGTAATAGTGTATCGTACTATTATTTAGAGTATAAACTACGAACAATGATTATTGATTAATACGAACTAAAACGAAAAAAATGATAATGAAAATAATAATAATAATAATAATAATAATATAATAATAATATAATATAAAATTAAAATTAAATTGGAACGCGTTTCGAAACAAAAATTTATGTATGACATAGCAATCGCTATCAAGCATACACGTTACGTATATTTTATCCGTGCAATTAAACTAATTAATCCATCTCATTAACATACAATGTACCATTAACTATCTCTCTCTTGTTGTTTTTTTTTTCTTTTTTAAATTTATAATTCGCTAATTTGTATGTAGTAGTATATATACGTAACAAATAACGATTAGTACTTTAGGATACATGATTTAAATTCGGACAATATGGCGAACGACTGATGGTGGTCAATATACGAGGATAAGAATACATTATAAACACATACCGAAGCATCGAGATGAAAAATCAATGTGCTCGATAGTGTATGTGCGTGCGTGCCTGCGCGCGCGCGCGCGTGTGTGTGTCGCATATATAAATACATAAATATAAATTATCGTTTATTCTACTCTGGTTAAATTCTTTTTTTTTTTTTTCTTTTATTTTTTTATAGCGAGAGAAGTTAAATGATCTTTAAATTAGATTAGAAATTCATACCTACGAAATGATAATGATGATGATGATGATGATGATGATGATGATGATGAACAGTCGATCAATATAGGAAAGATTTTGTAATACTTTCCTCAAGTTATTTTATTTTACCCCTCATCAATGGATCATCCGATAAAATAATGTTTTAACAATATCTAACCCCGATCGCCATCTTTTATTTTTAAAATACTAAATTATTATAACATTAATTATATCCCTACAATCTTTTTTTCTTTGCATATGTGTATGTGTGTTTGACGTATGGATTGTTCGTTTGTATGAGTATTGTGTTTCTCCTCATTAATTATTCTTATTATTATTATTATTATTCTTATTATTATTATTATTATTATTATTATTATTATTATTATTATTATATAAAATATTCAAATTACTACTTAATCTTTTCTCGTAATATAATTTTTAGAGAGAACTTCATCTATTGATTTCTTTCAGATCTAAAAGCGAAACCGAAAGCAGCGAAACTGTACACGAGGAAGCCGAATCTACGATCTAAAAAAAAAGTAGACAAAAAAAAAAATATTAATAAAAAATAAACCGCGCTACAGAGCAATAAATAATTTTATGTATATGTATATATACATATATATTTATTATATATACATATATGTAAATACATATATATAATATGTATGTGCTCAACCTCGCTAAAGAAAAAAAAAAAAAGAAAAAAGAAAAACTTTTTATTTGTACTTTTTATTTTTTTATTTTTTAAACCCTAAAAACGATTGAAATAGAGAAAGATATATATATATATATATATTTTCTTCTTTGGAATGCATTTGACAATATAATTAAAAAGAAAGAAACTAACTTTGTTCCTTAAAATACGATTTATCCCAACGAGCTATAATAATATATTGTTGTTTTTTATTTTCTCTTAATTTTTTTGATCATTGAAATTTCTCCAGAGACTTAATCAACGACAAAACTAGATATAATTATATAAAATAAAAACCCACACACAAAAGAAGAGATATATTCTTATCTTATAAAGCTATACTATTAATATATATATATACGATACGTCATTCTATTTTTTAACAGATAGTCTGTGATTATTCTTCTCACGTATTTATCTGTCGACGTTTTAAACAAACGTCTATCATCCGTCGTTGAAGAAAATCATTTTTGGAAACGTGTATCACGTGATTGATTTGGAAATATCTAATCTATATAAGAATGATGATGATGATGATGATAATACATTCTAACAAATCCTAACGTGCCTCTTTCTTACTTTCATAATTAAATATTATACAACACAACCAACCATCATCTGATTTTATTCGTTAAGGAAGATTAATAAATCAGAACATTTTGTATATGAATTATTGATAACAAGAAGAAAACTCACAAATTTACACATCTTCGTATGATCCATCATATATATATATATATATGAATTAAAAAATAGGAACGAGTTGTTGTTAAATTATTGGCTGAATAAAATAAATATCTTAGTCAATTGAAATCTAACGTTTTCATTAAGGTAATAACCGATTGTCCTCGTCGATGGAAAAATGAAGGGTGTGTTGGGTATGAATTTGAAATGGATGGGTTTTAATTCTATAGGTTGGGCTCTCACATATGAAATATATATTATGGAAGCTGATATAATATAAAAAAGTCAATTTTTAAAAAACTGTAATTATTATTAATCGTAGTAATATGATTATTGACAATGACGCGGCTATGTGCACATTAAAACATCTTATCTGTATCTTACAAGACCAGCTTTCTTGTACACTATATACAATAACTAAATATTATACTCATTTGCATTATAGTAAAACTATGTATATATATAATTATTAAATTCATTGTTATTGTTATTATTATTATTATTATTATTATTATTATTATATTATTATTGTTATTGTTGTTGTTGTTGTTGTCGTCTTCGTCGTGGTCAGCGCTTTTTTTTTTCTGCTGTTTCTATTATTATTGTTGTTTGTTATTAGTATTATTATTACTATTAATATTATCATTAATATTATTATAATCAATATCAATATTATTCATGTTTTATTTCTTCTTGTTTACTATTACTATTCATTATTATTATTATTTATTTATTTATTTATTTATTATTATTATTAGTAGTAGTAGTGGTAGTAATAGTAGTAATAGTAGTAGCGTAGATTCACTATTATTATTATTATTATTAATATTATTATCGACATTATCAATACTAGCATTCTAATTGAATTTATTTAATTACTTTATGCGTAAGAAATGATTAAAAATTAACCAAACGTTTATTATTATTTGAAATTATTTACAATATATAGGCTCTTAAAACTTGACTTATCATTTGAGAAATAATGTACATATTGATAGAGTTTTAAACGTGTATATATATAAAAGTAAGATTTGGAAATAGTTTCTTCTATTCGGAAAAAGAAAATTCGTAAAATCATTTCATCAATTGCATTTAACTGCAGTATTCTACTAGTTCTTATTGGTGGAACTAACGCACTCGCGCGTACCTTTACACGTGTGTGCTCTGTGTGTGAGTCTGTGTCTGTGTCAATTGTCAAAAGCAAACACAAGATATAATGATGTGTGTGTATGTGTTTGTGTCAAAAAAAATACCAAGAGAATTCAGATTGCTTTACCAATAATTAATTTTCAACAATACTTTTGCCAATTAATTATTAAACTATAATTCCTTTTCTTGCGTTCATATATATATATATACAAATGTACAAACATGTGTATATATATATATATGCGCATACACATATATATATATATATATACAAATGTACACGCACACAATTATATATATATATATGTAATATAAACGAAAATTTCGATAAATGTGCATCCTAATTAATTTGAAAAAAGAAAAACAGTGGCAAACATTGATTTAAATCAGATTTAAATTTTGGGGAAAGTAAACCCAGTCATTGAACTCTCTTAGTTTTTAAAATGCAAGATGGCGCGGAAATTTGTCTCTTACTATCGTATTGTCGGCCCCGTCTCGTCATTGTTACGATCCTTTCTTAGGTATAAGAACGGTTTAAATCTATTTCTTTTTTAACATTTAATACGATCTCCAATTTATATTTGATCTATATATCTTCCTTTGTTTGTATTTCAAGCAATTTTCATCAAATATATTATCTCCTTCGCCAAATTCGTTTAGAAAGAAATCATAATTTACACAACAACGTTAAAAAATATGTATATATAATTAATCAATTATAAATCATTTTCTATCGTGCTTAGAATCGTTTTGTTTCTTATTTTAATTCTCGTAAAATCAAGCCAAGGGCGGCGGATTGATTAAAAAAAAAACGACACGACCTGGATTAACGTTAATTATTTCGGCGCGATCTTGCAAATTATTTTCATTTAACGACAAATAATAACTCATCGGAAAATAACTTAAAAATCATTTGAAAGTGATACGACCGTATATGATAACACAGCCATTATGCAAGCTTTTTTTTTCCTCTTTTTATATACGAATCACAAATTCCTGGTTCATCAAACAGATACGGATTGCATACACACGCATATCCATACATGCGTTAATAGAGAGAGCCACCCATATATACACGCAGCATACACGCGCACGCGTGCCATACAAATTTTTACATACACGCACAAATTGCATACGTACATACATACATTCGCATTATTTCCAGCTTGTTTGTTTGTTTGTTTTTCGCTTATCGATCGATCGCGGTACGAGATTTAAGACGAAATAGATTGTTTTTCTTAATTTTTCCTTGTTTTTTTTTTGTTTCTGGTGTTAAACTTTTTAATTTATCGTAATAAAATCGTACCAACTATATCTTGATGTAAATAATTGCACATGTAGATTAATAAGAAGTTAGATTTAAACTTTCGTCGAGAATGTTTTTACAATTGTGTGATGCTCTTCCAAGTATTCATTTCATTTATTTCCTTTTTAAGTTTCTTTTTCTGAGCCAGTCATACAACGAGAATATGCATGTAGGATTAATTAATAATCAATTAATTATATATCGATAATTAAAAATGTTACGAATCATTTTCATCTTAGATCTCGTACTTTCGTAAAATCAAATATTTAACATATCCCTTATTTTTGTTTGTTTGTCTTAACAATCTTGGACAACATTAAACTGAAATAATAATAATAATAATAATAATAATAATAATAATAATAATAATAATAATAATAATAATAGATAATATTCTATGTGCAGTCATTTAAATTATAANTCTCTCTCTCTCTCTCTCACTTTCTTTTTCTCTCTCGAAACTGGTACAAAATGGCACGATTGTTTTTTCTTCGTTAACCATGAGTATTATAATGTATACGCATCATAACTCGACACCTACTTAGCGCGATTACAAATTACCGGTTTGTTTTTTCTTTCTTTTCTTTTTTTTCTCCCCCCCTCCCTCGTGTGTTCTGTGTGTTGCCTATTTTATTTTAATATTATTATTTTTATTTTTAATAACTTTTTAGATTTTTAATTTAATTTAATTTAATTTATTCCTCTTTATATTTTTCTTCTTCTTCTTTTTCTTCCTCCATTATTTTATTATTAATAAAAATGAGCAACAAAAAAGGTGCAGCGGTAGTAGTAGTAGTAGTAGTAGTAGTAGTAGTTAGTAGTAGTACTAGTAGTAGTAGTAGTAGTAGTAGTATAGTAATAGTTATAGTAGTAGTAGTAATATTAATAATAATGATGATGATTAAAAAATGAGAAGAAAAAAAAGAGAAACGAAGAACATAAATCTGTTTGTGATTTAAAAAAGAAAAAAAAGAATCTCTTTGCATTTTTTATTTATAATAAATAATAACTTTCTTATATCTTGGAAAACGACTATGTATAAATAATAAATAATTTTTCTTTTCTCTATATATAAACATAATAATTTTGAAGCTGTGTGCAAGCACCACTTTCGGAAACGAGTTAAATAAGGATAATGCGTATAACAGGAATATGGGAAGGGGTGGTGGTTAAAGAAATTCTATACAATTGTATTTTCAATTAAGAAAAAAAAAAACAAATAGAAATGAAGGGCGAGGGGTTGAGGGGGGAGGGGGTAGGTGGTGAAACAAGCATGATAATTAACAATATTATTACACATACATATATAAAGATAGATAGATAGAGATATAGAAATTAAAAAAAGAAAAAGAAACGTCATACTACAACACAACAGAAAAAGAAGAGAAGAGAGATAATTAAAAAAGAACAAAAAAAAAAAAGTATAACAAGAAGACACATTTGTTTTTTTTTCTTTTTTTCTCTCTTGTGATTAATAAAAATATAGTCCAAGTTAAGAACGGGGTTACTATTGTTTCATGTTGGACGTAATGGAAAAACGAACAAATGAAATTTCCTAAACAAGGAAATCCTTCCGCGTCCGTCGTGTAAGTTTTCGTATTTAACAACGAGAATAAAAACACTTTCTTTCGAGTTCTGTACAATTTAACAACGCGATATTCTTTCATTCTCTATCTTGACCTCACCCTACTATCTGCAAGTTCTTAGCACTGTCAAATAAATTTGTCGTTTATCAAATTTAACGCAGCAAATATCATAATATACTTCATCTATTTTCTTTTTTTCTTTTCCCTTTTTAATTCTGCTAAGGCAAATTAATTAATTATTCGTTTAAAAAATTTTCGAGAAATAAAAACACGTATCTTTTCTATGGTTTCCTCTCTCTCCCTTTCATTCTTTCTCTCTCTCTTTCACCCTTTCATTCTTTCACTCTCTCTCTCTCTCTCTCTCTCTCTCTCTCTTTCTCTCCCTTCTCCATATCTTTTGGTTAGTTTCCAATTTTTTCATCATATATACTTTTTACGCTTATTTAATATATAATAGTCTTTTGGAAATATATTTCGTAATGTGTGTGTGTCTGTTTTTTTTTCTTTTTTCTTTTATTAAAATTTTTTAATAGCTAAATTTTTTTTTTTTAAGTTTTTTTTTTTAAAAACCGCTCCTCCTTTTTTTAAATTAATGATTCGAGAAGTATTCTTTGTACAGAGCATAATTGTTTTATCGTTCCGGCATTCGTTAAGGTCTCTATCGTTAATAGAAAACACCCACAACGCAAATTGTGCAACTAACATTTTGTCTTCTTATTCTTCTTTTTTTTTTTATTCCCTTTTCTCCTCTTTCTCCTTCTCCTTCTTCCTTCTACTTCTTCTACTTCTACTACTTTTTCTTTTTCGATATATCTATTGCCAACGTAAATATAATATAATCTATTGCACGAGCGGTTGTAACATCGCGATGGTGTATCAATAATAATAGATATAATCATAAAAATAAAATAGAATAATAATAATAATAATAATAATAATAATAAAAAAAAAACAATTAAAAACAATATATTATGGTATTCGTTTTGTATAGATAATCCAATAGATAACTGCATTACGTAAAATCAATGGTTATCCTTTAATTACACATATACATGGTAAAACTTAGTTTTGTCAAGTGTTACCGAACCAAATACGGGGTGGAAGAGATGGGTGGCTACGGGGGTCGGGTAGAGCTGGTGGAGGAAGCGCATTTAACGATAGAAACCTTAGCGAAGTGCAATCATCTCACGTTTGAAATGCACATGTAAATCAATTTAAGGTGAATTTTGGGCACTTTGTGACATTTCACTTCACCCTCAGATCATTTACAATACAATTAATAATAATTTATATTACACACTTACAACGTTTCGCTAATGAGTCTCTCTCTTCATCTTAACATCGAATAATAATATATATAATATACATATATGAATATTATATATATATATACATTGAAATATATATATAATATATACATATATTTGTTCTCCTATATATAAATCTTATAATCATCCATTATAGTTCTCGTATATTTATACAATTATCATTAATTATCACCTAACTTGGCATCCTTGTGGGAGCGGCGCAGGCGGACATCCCGACGAATTGTGTGTCGCGTTTTGGGACAGCAAAGGAATATCGTCCTCTTTGGAAGATTGTTTATTATCCGAGATTTTACCGCTTCTAGAATCGTTACACGTTAACTCGGAGGAGGTGGTTAACGAAAGCGAGGAGTTCACCAGCGCACTATCGTCACTCGCACTACTACTACTACTTGCCACTGGATCCTTAAGTTCGTAACCTTCCTGACAACGAGTCAATTTTAATCTTATTGGTGTAACTTTAGCGGAACGCACGTTCCTAAGGGCGGTGGCACTCGTATTAGAATCCGTCGGTTGTTTATCGTCAATGACACTGTCCATAGGATAGGTATGTTCCTCCTTGGAAGGTTCAGCAGGTGGTACACCAATTCGTGCATCATATTCAGCGTTTTTCGAATCCCCACCACGTCCACCACGCTCGGCCACGTCGATGCCACCAGTGAGGAAGCTCGAAATGTCATTGCTAGGTTCGCGAAATTCGTTGCTAGACGAATTGCTCGTACCCTTTCCTATTCGTATTATTAATTTCGGCGTAGACGCGCAACCCTCTAAGATTTGAACGCGAGCTTCCTTTTTACTAGACTGACGTCTCTTTCTTTTACCGTTCCTATCTTTCTTACTCTTTCCTTTCGTTTTCTCGTCGTCGTTGTCAAAACCGGCCATTATCATGCGTCGGAATTTCATGCTCTCCCTGCGAAGTTCTTCTATACTTGGTGTAGTAGGAATACTGCTCAATCGTTTTTTCGGAGGCCTTATTCTAGTCCTATCGTCTTGTTGCACGTTGCCCATTTCTTGGCCGATTATACTGTTACCTATTTTGATCTTTAACTTTGGTGGGCCGGTGTTGTTGGTCGTGACGGTAGTAGCAGTTGCAGCTGTTGCAGTACCCGTAGCCGCGACTGTTGCAGCGGTCGGTGCTATCACTCCCGTTGCGGTAGCACCCGCCGTATTACCTGTTGCTGCAACAGCAGCTGCGGCTGCTGCTCCCGACGCTGAGCCACTCAAAGATGACATCGTCGTAACTGATGGTTTTGCTTGTCTACCTCTCCTACCCCGATCTACGTTTCCACCAAAGATCATTCCGCCAGCTCCGCTTCCTCCGCCCCGTCTTCGATCGGAAACACCTTCCTCGTCTACCGCGTCGAGGAAACTTCCCCTTTCTTTTCTTCGTTTCTTTTCCATATTAGCATCTACAACCGCTTTGTAATCTTCCCTAGTTGGTATACTCGTCATCGACGCTACAGCTTTCGGTATCGTTATGACTGTACGATTGACAGGAGGTAGAATGATAGGTGCGGAGGTCGCGTTACCGCATGCCGGATCGCCGTCCATGTTCATATCCTGCGAACAATACTGTCGCAGGAGTTCTTTCTTACGCATCCTTCGAAGATTCGACGTTCCAGAGGCCACCGATGCACTGGTAGCGGCAGGCGTTATGATGACAGGTGCCTGTTGCGCCAACGGCGGTACCGACGATGCCGGCACGTAATTCGCATCGAGGAATGGCCCTTTGATTTTAACTTTCAATTGATTACGAGACTCCGAGAGGGATACTTTGCTGGTTTCTTTGAAGTTAGACGAAGATGCCATTACGGTGTCTATGCTCGGATTGTTATAGTTAATCTTCGATGAGGGATCGACCTGTTGTTTGCTACCAGCGATCAGAGAGGATTGCAGCTCTTTATCGATATCCTCCTCGATATCTGGCAATACTGAATCCGTAGAAACACCGGCGGCGAGCGTGTTGAGAAAATGATTTGCGTACGATTGTGAATGGCTCAATGACGAACTGGGTGCATCGACGTTCGAGTTATAAGTTCGCATATCGACTGGACCTGGAAGCAACGGTAAAACAGTATCGGCAAACACTTGACCGGCATTCGATTCGGATTCAGCGATGGCTGCTGCTGCTGCTGCTGCCGCCGCTGTAACGTTCCCGACTACAGCAGAAACGCTTACGGCACCGCTACCACCGGCACCAGCAACTACTCCACCACCACTCGCCACGTTGGCATCGTGCATCGCTGGTGACGATAGCCTCTTATCGTCGGAGTATTTTTTATGTAACGTACTCGGACTAGAGAGACGAGACTGATGTATTCCGTCATTGGTCATTAGGAGCGAGCCTTCGCCTCCTCTCTTTTCACCTCCGATGTCGGTAGACTTTTTCCTTTCACGCATCGTCCGCAGGTCTGCAATGTTGGTCTCGTTCGTCGAATCCTCGTCAGAATCGAAATCGTAAACCGTGCCGACGAGCTTGTTTTGAATCGAATCGTCGTTGTGCATAGCGTTCGAGGGGAAAGTCGAGAGCATGATTGTAGAGGTCTGATTGTTTCTACCTCGACCCCTACCCCGTCCACGACCACGATTTCTATAACCCGACTGTTGCTGTTGTCCACCCTTTGCCCCGCGACCACGACCACGTGTACCGGTACTGCTAACGGAAGTACTTTTGATTGTCTCTCCATGTCTAGGCGATTTTCCAGGAGATTTTCCTTGAAGGGAGGTAACCCTGGCAGATGTTCTCGTAGGTTTCGATGGCGATTTCTTGCCGGATTGTTGCGGCACCGTTACCGTCTTGCAATCTACCTGAACTTCTTGAGTATTTTCAACAGCAACAACTGCAGCTGCGGCTGCTTCGCTAACTTGTACCGTAGACGTCAATGTCGTCGACGACGCCGTGGTCACCGTTGCCATTGGTGTAGGTGACATAGTCGTCGATATTGCCGTTGACATGGATGCAGAAGTTGTTGTAGTTATAGTCGTTGCAGTGGTTACTACAGCAGCTGTAGCAGTTACCGTTGTTGTCGTGCCATCGAGGAATGATGGTATCATCGGTGGCATCACGGATACGTTCGTATCCTGTTGTAATTGAGGTGGTTCGTGTTCCGTCTCGAGCGACGGCTGTGCCGATTGAGGTGGTGGTGTTGGTACTTTCGTAGGTGATACCATTGCTGCGGTCAAGGCCATGTTGTGAGAAGAGGATGTGAAAGCTGCGGTACACGGTGATGCTTGCATATTCAACGAATCTTCCAATGGCTTAGGTACGTGCGATAATAAGGATTGCGGGGTAGGAAATGGTGCCCCGAAGGGTGGTGGAAACATTGCCGTGCCTGGGGATGGATAAGGTAAAGGAGCACTGCATGGTTGAGGTGGGAATAGAGAAACGGGACCAGCATAAGAGTTAGCTTCGGAATAGGCGTGATATGCCGCTGCGTCCATCGCCGAACATGCTGGGAATGGCATAGGTGGTATGTTTTTGTACGGAGGAATCGCTGTGTGATCCTCACCGGATGAGGCAGACGTGATCGAAGAAGACGTCGATCTTCGCGATGGTAATACTTGACTCTCCGCCCAACGAGTATCCTGACGCGAAGGATTCATCTCATTGTACGGAGAACCGTTTTGAACATAATCTTGTCTCATATCCGATGACATTTCCTCTTTCTCCAATACTCGATCCATCTCGCTTCCCTGATCATCCTCCGAATTTGGCAAACCTATGAGATGCCTGTTAACCATTTCCATCGGCGTTATTTCGTCTACCATTTGCGTGGATATTCCTGTCACTTGTTGATCCATTACTGCCATAGATTGTGCTCGATTTTCCGCGTGCGATTCTAAATGTTGAGCAGCACGGACCATGGAATGAGTCTGTTGCAAGAGATATTGTTCCTGCATGTTCATATTCAATTGTGAATGTACCAAAACATCGGGATTACTTTCCGGTAATACGTTAGCAATATCGTTTGTAAATTGATGATTGCCATAACGGTGATTTTGATTATCCATTAATGCGTTTAAGTGCACATCCGCTGAACTAAAGTTCTCTATACTCGGTGGCACCCACCGTTCGTCCGCTTCGGCTCTGTCCAACTTAGCACGCTCGACCACAGTTACTTTAGAGGTTTCAAGATCCTCGTTATTATAGGGCACGTAATGATCACTGTTGTTCGTATAACACAATTTTCGTTTTTCCTCTGTCGCATGATTTTTACAAGCAATATCGTCGGACGTTCGAGCAAGCTCCTCCGTATTCTTCATCTCTTGCATTGGTGGTGCAGTCTCTGTTTCTAAGATCTTTACCTCGTTCTCTTCGGGAATTTGATCGAGAGACTTTTCAACTTGCGTCTCTTCCTTCTTTATTTCGTCCTCTAATGTGACTGGTTCTAGTTCGAACTGACTAGGATTCGATTTTTTCGACAACTCCATACGTAGTTTTTCAACCAAATGTAATGTCTCTCGAGCACTGTCTTCCTTGGAATCTTCTTTAAACCACAATTCATTATTGAATGAAAACATTAAAGGTGCTGATCTTTCTTCGGCATCGCGAGGAATATTAAAGCCGTCATCGTTTACCATGTCATCCGTTAACATGTCTTGATCAAAATCAAACAATTCTGATACGCTAGGATCTTTGCTGCCGTGTTGAGGTGAGAATATTGAACGATTAGTAGATCTCTTTCTTTTGTTAACTTCCTTCTCCACATTTTCGGAAACTGCGATTTTATCGAGTGTCGGTTTCGAAAAGACATCGTCCCTTCCTTCCTTTGTCATTGTCGTCTCTTCGATAGCAGCTAATCGAGTTTCACAAGAATCCGTGGTAGGCATACTTTCAATCTTATCCTCGCTTTTACTTTTTCTATCCGAAAATTTGTCATGAGTTATTTCGGTAACATCATTCTTAATTGACACTTCTTCTGATTTTGGTTTATCAACAATCATTTTATTCTCGCTGATGTGATTCTTATGATCTTCGCTCTTTATCGTATCGTTTATGAGAAGTGTATCTTGAACAGATCCTTTTGTATTACTTTGTTCATTACATATTGCTTTTTCTATCTTTACTTCTGTATTTTTATTTTTCGATAATTTGTCCATGTGTTCGCGTTTCTCGAGAAGTTTGTCCAATCCTTTTAGAGATTTCTTTGGACTATCTCTTTCGGCACGACGTTGTTTCATTTCTTCCTCTAACGTATTTGCTGCATTTTTATTACTAGGTTTTTTGATTTTCTTATCATCCGTCTTTAAGGTACTTTCAATACACTTTGTAGAATCTACCGCAACCGTTTTAGAATTATCCTTGTTAATAATATCTTTTTCAATCTCTTTACTTGGCTTTTCAGTTAATTTCTTTTCACCTTTCTTAAAGGAAGATGTCTCTTTAATGTTTTTGTCATCTTTTGATGGGAGAATATCATTAAATTTTCGTTTGCGTGTATCTGATTTTGTTCTAGATCCTGTACTACTGTCTTCTTTAATTTTGGAAGATGGTTGTTCTGATTGTTTGACAATTTGATTGGACTTTTTGACAGATTTGGACCCAGAAAGATTTCGTGACCCATCATTATTTCGAGACCCACTAAACAGATTTTGGTCACTTGGTAGCTGTGGCTGTAATATCCCGGATTTTTTAGATGACTCTCTTTGATCTGATTTTTTGTTAATTGTTTGTTGTTGTAATTCTTCTGGCTGTTGCTGTTGTTGTTGTTGTTGCTGCTGTTGTTGATGTTGATGTTGTTGATGTTCTTTAGAGATTGAGGTTCCGCTTGATTCTTCTCTTTCAGTAGACGGCGGCTGAAACTCTGGTCCATGCCGCCCGTCGGAAGTTTTAAGCTTCTTATCGGGCAGCTTCTTGAGTTTTCGTCCTATAATCTTTTTCTTATCAGATTCTATAGGTTCGTCTACCGATTTAATAAACGGTCGTTTAACTACAGCCTTATTCTTGGATTGATTGCCAGTATCACTTTCAGAAGACGTATTAGACGAAGACGCTTGATCTTTAACAGAACTTCGATTTTGTTGCACAGGACTTTTACTATCATCCGTGTCGCTGCTACTCTCAGATGAACTGCTACAACTACTACTGCTGCTACTTTCGCTATTACTCGATAATACAGAAGATAAATATTTGCACTCTGATAATTTTTTCGATTTTTTCGATGGATCCTCCTTCGTCTCTTTCCTAACAATTTCTTCCTTCTTGGGTGATTCCTCCTTTTTATTTTCTTCCTTCTTACTTTCTTTCTTTTTCCCGCTATCCGGCGAATCTTTCTTTGGCTTAACATCTAACGTTTCGACATCAGGTTGTACGATCTTAGTACCCATACCACTTTTAATATGTTCAGCTGCTTTCTTCGCAGCTTGTCTTTGCGGTACGTAAGCGAGAATTTCCATACCGTCGCCAAATTCTTTGTCAAAATCATAAACGTCGTTTGTCTTAGTTTGATCTTTAGACATTTTATTATCCTTTTGTTTTTTACCGGATGATTTCTCTTTAGGTTGTTTCGAAGATTTAGTTTCTTCGCCGGGCGATTTAACGAATTCGACAGATTCTGTTGTCAAATTGTCCCTCTTAGCTTGCGATCGTTGCATGATTTCGGAAGCCTTTTTCGCAGCTTGTCTTTGAGGTACTATAAGAGCGGAAGGATATTCTTTTTTCTTCGCGCTCTTAACGTTCTCTTTGTTCTTAGTCGAATCGTCCACGTAATCCTGTTTAGTATCTTTGCAAGTGAAATTCTTTTGCGAATTTTTCGATATGTCTGCTGCAGAAAATTCCTTAACTGCAGCTTTAGTTATAAGTACAGCTGAATGAGAAGCATGTTCTTGAGAATCTGAATCCGTATCTGAATATATTGCTGAAGCAGCAGAAGGTCCTAGACGCGTTGCCGAATTGGTGTTTAAAGTCAACAACTCATCACTCTCACTTCCTGTTGCACTACCAAGTTCTTTTTCCATATGTTGTAACGTACGAGATCTATTATTCACAGTATCTAATTTATCACTTTCACTACTTTCTTGAAGCAAAGAATGAGTTCTATCTTGAACACCAGATGATTTCTTGGCTTTGCGTCTAGCTGTTTTCGTCTTGGGTGAATTTATTACTTCATCCTCCGTGCTCGAGTCGCTCTCGAGTTGGCAATTTTTCGATTTGTTCGAACATTTGTTGGACGTCTTGACAGTACTTTTAATTACGTCTGGTTCACTACTGCTCATAGATGATAAGTCACTACCATATAAACTTTTCTTTCTGACCGAACCATTGAAGTAAATCTTTTTATTAGATGCACCATTAAAATCTGGTTGTACTTTCTTTTCATTACTCGAGACTGGTGTCGGTGATCTAATTCCAGCAATTCTTGCGATCAATGTCTCAATGTCGCGCGTATATTCCTCTGAATCAGGATGAGAATATAAACGATCATATATCGATGGTCCATGATTAGCTGCCAATACAGATGCAATTACAGCTGATGGTAACGGAGGTCCGGATAATATCAATGATTGCTTGTGAAATGTTTGCTCGCGTAACCTCAAGAAAGTACGGCACAATTTCTCGCGTCTACCAACCATGTAGCAGAGATTTCTGACTCGTTCTAAATCTTGTCGTAGCTGTACAAATGTACGCATCTTTTCTAAATCTGCTGCTTGGCCTTGAGCGCGTGCTCCGGCACTTGAAAGTTCACCGCAACGTGGTGCCAATAGCGGTTTGTTGTGACCAGCCTAAAATATAAAAAAATAAATATCGATGCTCTCTTATAAAAGCCCAACGATCTCGTGTTTTTTCACGATACCATCCCCAATAACTTACCCTTCGTTTTAGCTTCCAATAATTATAAATGTATATAACGGCGTCAGTATCTATATCCAGTTGTTGCGATACGACATCTTTTAGAGATACGTGTTTATCAAATTCAGCTTCTATTTCTTGTAACCTAAAGTGACAATAAAGATGTTACTTTATGTAACAAATAAGTAAATATAAATTAAATAAAACGAAAAAATTTGTAGAGCAATACTATAAAAACGTACAGTTTACTTTTATTAATACTACAATTAAGAACTTTAGTTCTAATTGCCGGCGTTACATACTTGGCTGCACGAGCTTGGTTCTTTTCTTCTGAAGTCATATCTTTGCGTTTACGTTTTCTAGATTCACCATCTTCCGAATCTGTGCCACCATTACCGCCATTATTTCCAACATTTCCTCCAACACCAACTTTATCTTTTGTATTCGTTCTACTATGCTTCTGACAATAAGACTGTCGAGAAAAAGACAATTGATGAATCAAAGATTTGTATTATTTACTTATTACGATCTCTAATTAATATATATATATATATATATACCCTTAATTTGACACCATCATCGGCTAATTCATCTTCAATAATTGCTTTCATTTCAAGACCATATTTAAAAGCACAAGTAACATGATATGCTGTTTTACATGTCTTTATGCTGCACTGTATGCATGCACCCACGCGTTCACGACACAAAACACAAATGAGAGCCCACCGACTTTGCTGTAATTAATTAATTATATGAATATTTAAAATCTTTGAGATATGAAGATCGTAAAAAACTTTAAAGAATTTAAGTTGAATTTATAATAATTACCGGAATACTGGATATTTTTGTAATTGGTTCCATTCTTTCCACACAACCAATGCTAACTTCTGGTATCCAAAGTGCACAAGAAACATGGGCCCATTTTTGCCCACTGCGTGTACACTTCATTGCACCTCCTTTATTTGGACACAGAACGCAGTCTGGTCGCTGACTTAAGGAACAAGTTCTGCATAACCATGAACCTTCTGGTATCGAAGTAATACCATAACATGCTTGATGTACACATATATTGCAACAATCACAGAACACCATTTCATTTCCCTCTTCAGAATCAGGCTGATAAGTAAAAGAAAGAAAAGAAAAAATAACTTTATTAAATTTATATTTATGTTTTAACTTACTCTCTTAAAAAAAGTAAATTTTAAAGTATACAATAAAAATAATCGAATTGTAAAACACTTACAGATCTACAAACGTCACAAATAACATTTTCATCATATTCAATTCCAAGACCTTCTTCATTTTTAACGATTGTTTGTATTCTTTCCCAACACCGTACTTCTAATTCTTCTATTACATGTTCTAGTTCTGATTCTGTGATAGGTAACTGACCAGCCTAAAATTATATAAAGACAATAATAGAAAGATGTTCCGATTTTTGAAATGGTTTTTTTAAATTGAATTAAATATATATATATATTAAATTGCAATGCAACTGCAATTACAAATGTACATAAATGTTCAGTGGAAATATATGAATTTAAAATAATTGCAGATCATCAAATTGATTGTTAATATAAATCTGACTATGTATGCAATGCATGCGCATAGGATATAAAAATTTATCACATTTGATTTCCTTACCTGCGCTCTTTCACCATTAAAAACATCTAACCAAGTAATATCTGTATCATCCAGATCATAAGCACAAGCTTTCTCAGCTCGTGTAGGTGTGGTACTTAAATGATGATCTTCAGGATTGAAATAATCATCTCGGGATATTCTTATAAATTTTTTAGGTCTACGAATGAAAAATAACTGATGTTAAGAAAGAAAGAAAAGAAAGAAAGAAAAGAAAAAGCAAAGCTTTATCTAGGGAATAATATATTAAAGTGAAAAGTATGTTATTAAGAATGTGTTGATTGATACTTACAATTTGAATTCACCATGTTGTAATTTCAAAGGAGATGTTTGCGTAACAGTAACCTTTGGTTCAGGAAGGGAATCTGGATTAACAGGTACTTGAACACCTCTTTCCCATTCCTGTTTCCACTGATCAGTAATAACCCAGTACTCATTGGAACTTAATGGTTCGCTATCCGGTAATTTCATAGCACTGATCAGATCTTTACGAAAGAGTTCTGCTGGGGCCTCAGCAGCTGATCGATTGTATATACTTGAAATCTTAATGTCGCTGACAGGTCGGGGGGTCCAGGATGCCCCCCCTTGACTGGACGACGCCATCGTCTCCTCCTCTTCTGAAGGCCCCGTTGCTGTTGGAAGGGCCGATGAACCTGTGGCAGCCGGTCCCAATCTGCATTTACGCCTTTTAATCGCGCCTGGACAAGACGCCAAATCATTGTCGTTTCTGTTGACTCTCTTCCCTCGTTGTGCCATTCTACTAGACCAAATAAGCTAGTGATACGTGGCACATGCAGGTGGGCTATGCACACCCTGAAAACAAAAACAAATAAATGAATAAATATTGTTATTTGTTTTTACATTAGACAATTTTCAATTTAAATATACTTACTACATAGTTATCCATATATTTATTATCTTGAAAGTAGACTTTTAATTGAACTGCAAAAAATACAAGTAAAAACATTACATTGATTATAGCCTATCATTAATACTAATTTCAATGAAATAGTTTTTATTTATAATTGTTTATAGTAATCTCAATTATTATCTTGTCAATGCAAAATAAAAAGAAGAAGAAAACTAAATGAAAATTGAAGTAACCTATCTCCAAATATTTATCAAATTGACGTTTTAAATACTGTCTTGTTAATATAATACTTTCTAATAAGATTCTATGCACTTTTGATGCATGATTAACATTGGATGTACAATAATTTAAAGTAGTTTCATTGAACATGTTAACAAAATCTAATGAATGATTGATCATGGTTTACTATTCTTTACTTGACATGAATGCATGCTGTGCATTGTATCAAAGAAGCAGTGCATTATCTTAATGTAATCTAGGCATGTAATTACATGTAAACATATTATGCTAATGTCTCAAATAAAAACATTGGCAATTGATATGAGATTTGATAAACTATTTTTTATCTTTAAGTGTGAAAAATAGTGCATAAGGGGAAAGCACTTTTGTATATAAACAAAAAGTAGAAGAAAACTGTAAATGACTAAGTTTTGATAGTAACCATTATATCAAGTACAATACCTGTAATATGTTCACACACTTATACACTTAAAGTATTAAAGATAGAGGTTACTAATAAAACAGTGTGCCAAGACTGGAATGAAATTATAATCGCGCACAGCCAGTCCGGTTTAATGACATCTTTTGAACTCCATTAATCAAGTTTTAGATGCATACTTTATATGGTGTTAAATATCACCATTAATTGATATTCGTCATTGTCGTTGCATTTGTTTAGACACAAAGTAATGTTTATTCACTACACAATCCTAGCCACTGGCTGAGCACAATTTAACACTCCTGTCTCAGCTGTAGAAAAAGAAGAGGTTATAAAAAACCAAGTTCAATGGGAATAATAGTGTAATATGGAGATTCGGCAATCGTTAATCAACTGATTGCAACCTCGGACAAGCTCGATTTATAATAAATAGTTAATTAAATGACTAAACGTACGAAAATCGTAAAAGGTTGTTCCCATCCTAAATTATCATGTAAACATTGGCACAGAGCTATCCCGGAAAATCTAAGTAAATCCTATCGCAAAGCGGTTTCACTCACTGTACGTAATCTCGATCGAGCGAGCCGAGGACAGCATTAGATAACATGATACGCGCGAAATAACGATAAACGGGGTATTCGCACGGATAAAATGCTCACGGCTCCATTACGCTGCTGCTGCTCCTGCTGCTCCTGCTCCTGCTATTGCTCCAGCTACCCAACAACATTGACAATACAGATGGCAGCACCCTCGCGTGCAGTCCACACAAGTTTCTACACACACTTCGAAAACCATTAAATACCTTATTATTGATCTATTAGCAGAATATATTTACGCGCGCACAGTTGCACGTGATTTCGGAACAGCTTATTAACCACCGCAAAGATGCCAATCTTAAACGATATTATTATTTAATCGCCACAGAGCTGACAGAGATAAGTGCGTACACCTCTGTCACCAGCAGCCTAACCAACATGTCCTCATTAGCGATTCCAGTAACATATAGCCAGTTCGTACTCACTTTGCTACGATCCTACGTCTTCTGGCTATATTCAATAATAATTCCTACAACCGTGACCGATCGTATTTAATCGCGAAATGCACCGAATCGATAATATATTTACATAAATGTGAATACTGGCATTTGGCGCCATCATGCCTGAAAAAATAACTGTGGAAGTTCGATGTCACGTGACCGACCCAGCGAGATCTCGCGATTTGCCTTCACGGATTATGGATTACAGTAAGATTGGAGGTCAACAGGTACATGTGACTTACACGCCCCCTCTTGGAATCTACACATTTTTATCATACTCTTTCTTATTTTATTATTTGTATTCTTTGTTTATCCATCTTTTTAAATATTATCATCTTCCATTTATTTTTATCAATATTTATCTCCTTTTTCTTCATTTTTTATCATTTCGCAATACAGAAAGTATTTAAAAACATAACAAAATTTAATTTTTCACTTTTCAAAACAATTACTCATTACTAAACATTTAAATTAATAATTAAATCTTTTCATTATTTCGATTAAACTATTTTATACGTCAATCTTTTTTACTAATTGTAATCACAAATAAATTTTTGTTCATTTTCACATGTATTTTTAAAAATAATTATTTTAAATAATTTTTATTCGTCGTATTGTGTGTTAATTGTTAAATCCCTTGAATTAAATTTGTATTATATATTGTTGTTATTATTATTACTATTATTATTATTATTTTGATAAATTCATGTAAGTGCACCCTTATATACAATTTTTATGTTTCATGACTTAAGGTTCAAGAAAATCATAGGTTAGAATTAATTGGGCAGGCTTTCAAGAAAACAAATGCAGTTCCAATTGCATCTTCTGATTTATTATGTTTATTTTTAAATTTATACTCATGTGGTGTGGTTGCTAGGCTCTGTTGCTATTATCTAGTATAAATATTTTGTTGTTATTTTATATAATATATAATATAAACATTGTAATATTTGTTCATACTGAATTAAATATAAAAAAAATTAATTACAATGGAACAGGTATCCATTTATTACGTTTAGTTTATGTTATACTTTTATCAAGTAAAAGGATTATTTTTATTAAATTAATTAATAATATTTTTATAGGACTTGAAAAGTAAAATTGATGAAGCCTGCAGAACTGCTGAAGAATTTACTAAATTATATTACGAAAATTTGGACAAAAGAAGATATGTGAGTATTTTATTTATTTTGTTTTGACGAGCAATTAGTTTCTTTATTTATTAAATTATTTAATTGAATTCTATATATATATTTCAGTTAATGTCAAGATTGTACATGGATGCAGCTACTTTAATATGGAACGGTAATGGTGTAGAAAACAAAGAAAATATCCAAAAATTCTGGACAGATTTACCACCCTCAGAACATACTATTGTTACTTTAGATGCACAACCTGTTACGAGTAAATATCTTTCTAAAATATTTATCCTAATAACAGAATAATATTTACTTTGACTATATATAGTAATAGAATTCCTCAATAAATTTAAACTTTTTAAAAGTAATAAAGTATGATCGATCAAAAAATTTAAATCATATATAATATTCGACAAAAGAATGATTTTCAATAATTTCTAAATTTAATATAGAATTTAATGTTTGATATATAATATACCAATATTTTTTTAGCATTACATTGATTTCTTTTTTGTCGATAACAGATCCAGGAACATCAACAGAGTTAACATTCCTCATTAAAGTCAGTGGACAAGTCAAACTTGAGGAAAAATCCTCAAAACCATTCAATCAAACTTTTTTAATCACGGCGGTTGGAGACAAATGGAAAATTGTTACCGACTGTTTCAGAGCAGTAGATATATAACACAAGATATATATGTTAATTTATACAAGTATTGTTAAATAATAATTTCATTAGATAATTTTAATGAAAACGTATGTCTTGCTTATAAATTGTATATATTGTATAATAATATTAAGAAAATGTTCACATTATACATAAGAAATTTCATAAAATATGACATCGCTTTATTATTATTATTCTATGATGCTCTTTATTGATTTAAGAAAGCATTTTAGTTCCATAATTAATTTTTTATTTTCATTTTTCGATCTTATATGAATGTATAAAGCAATATTAAAAATTTTGTATTAGTGAATTCAGTACATTGGTCTTTAGAAATGTAATTTCACATGAAAAAATAAAAAATAAATACAGATATAAATAGACATAAAAACTACTATGATACATATTATATAAAACAAAGGACCTTCCTGTCTTCTATAATAATAATAATAATAATAATAATAATAATATTAATAATTATAATAATAGTAATTTCTAAGTCCCATCATCTAAAATTCATTTGCGTAATCATTAATTTTTGTTTGTGAATTCAGTTTTTCATTGAATACAAATAATAAAATAATGGTTTAGCTTATCACAGGTACAAATTATTTAAAAACAAATAAACAATTGAACCGAAATTACATTGTATACTATTAATGTTAATATATTGAATGTACTAATAGGCAGTGTCATAAGACACATTTCATTGGTCACTATTACTTTTGCATCTGTATTGCATTCTACTTAGTTTCAAGCACAGATTTAATAAAGTATAAGTTCAAAAATTCCCATAAAATAAATGAAAAATCTTGTTCACTCGAATAACATAATAAGTAACGATATTTACTGAGTAATCAATTAAATTAATTATATATTTATATCGATAATTATGTATTTACGTTATAATTTTTGAGTATTAATGTGAGTATATGTCATAATTTATAATTTAAACGTATCGATAAAGTTAGAAATTTGATTTTTTATGTGTTAATAGAATATCTAAGAATGAAAAATCATAAGACTTCTTTCGCACATTTTTGAGAAAAATTATTCCGAATATGGGACCTAGCGGTCTGATAGAAAATTGTATAAAAAATATGTGCAAGAGTAAGGAACGAACGCGCTGATATTTTTTATGAAAATTTCTAAACATATTCCTTTACTGCTGTGCCTTTGGAAGAACATTTCCATATATCCATGATTAAACAAAGCACACGACACTTAAGAATTTGATTAATTACATTGAATTTTCTTATTCTGGATAATTTATGTAGGCATACGATGATACTTAGTACAGTTGTTATTCAACTTATGCTATACAAATACAAAATTGTTATATTGTCCCACAGTACATGTAAGATATCTTAACATTATAATTTGTTGTATTTATAATGTGACCTACAACTTTGCATAAATGTACTAAGCAATGATGTGTATAAAATTACATATAAATGAAATGATTTACGATACATAAGCGGCTTAAGAAAGTGTCTACGTTTTGTAATGGCAATCATTCATATTGCATTTAATATGTACCACTGGTACAATTATTATTAAAACTGTGATAAACTATTCGTATTGTTGTTATGATCACCATATATGTATATATATATATATATATATATGTATACCATTATATATTCGATCATGTCTTTTTATATAAAAATGTAATCATGCAAAATGAATATTTTTTATCGAGACTTATAATGCAAAGCCTACACATGATGATCATAGACGATAATAAAATATTCCATATCTTTTTGACACCACAGATTTGGTATTTTAAAAATATAAATATGTGCAGACATAAAAAACAATGAATTTTGCAGCAAATCATTATCTTCCGAATAAAACATATTAAAGAAATACTTGTAGTATACTTTCTTATTATGCCTCAACCACACAAAATGTTTGTAATAGCATAAACATACAACCATAACTCAACAATCCTTACTTTCATTCACATTCATTACTTGATATTATTTTAAGCATAATTTTTATGATTAAAACATTGTTCTTAGACCTTACTAGTGACTTAGATATATATCTATACTTATGTATATATATGTATGCATGTATGATTTATGATTCGCATGTATACATACATACGTACACATAGTGTATATAAGAATATCTCCATTTTAACGAATCAACGCATTGAAATATTTTTATTCAGAATTTGTTGATAATTAAAAATATTTGAATGCGTTGATTAAAAGGAGATATGATGTTATATTATATGTACGTATATATGCATGTATATTTACGTATATCTATTATATATAATTAAACTGGTGACAGAAATGAATTGAAAATTTCAACAGAAATGTAAGAGAGAGTGTAAAATGTTACTTTTGATTTTCCACCACCAATATATACTTTATCTCTGCACTGTATTTATTACATCCTTTATTGTATTTTGAACCTCACTCAATAGTCTTGTATTTTCTGTAATATTTCTTGTTCCGGCTGCTCTTAGTTGTCTTGCTTGTAGCTCGAGTCTAGTGAGTAAATCACGGAACTGAAACCTCGCATGTGGTGCTATTGCAGTATCTGTAAGACTTATGCACATACCATGGAGCAAACCAACTTTATCGGATAGTTGAAGCCAACTAGCCATGATTATAGTTGGACTACCTCTAAGATTCAAAATACTATTGTCAATGACGTTAGAGATTTCGATTACACTATGTTTTGCTGCACCTTTTGATTCGGCAGTTTGTTTATTTGCATCTTCATCTGTCTGTGAAGCAGACTTATTGCAGTTTGGTGTAGCATATATTGAGGAACCAAAATGTTTAGTCGAAGAAACTAATGGTTTTAATGGTTTGGCTGGCACTACAGGCTTTTCTATATCTGCAGATGATGTTGGAGGCCATACTCTTGTGTCTCCTTTACTAGTAGAACTACGCGTTGATGCCCCACTATGATCTTCCGGGGAGTCTTCGCCCGCATCAACTATGTCTGGCTTGCTTACACCTCTAACACTTAATTTAGGACTGAGCGGCTGATTATCGCAGGAAGCCTCTTTGTTTTCCCATAATTTTTTTAGGCTACTTATACTTCCAGTACTTCTACGCTTATCATCAATTTGATCATCAGTTCCCAATTCAGAAGAATCTGTGATACTACTTCCAATATCATCAAACCGTTTTGTTTTATCTTCCACAACTTTATCTTTTTCCGCATTATCTACCTTTCGTAACCTAGCTTTGAAATCGATTATTTGATTATCTCCAGTTTCCTCTTTTTGCGGGTTATTCCTTTTATCGACCTTTTTCAATTTGAAACCTATATTACCAGTGCTTATTATACCCTCAGTTATAGGTGAAGATGCATCAATCTCTTTGTGTGTACTGTGCTTATCAAGACTTAAATGATGATCCTGTGCAATTGAAAAACTATCATTGCTCTTCAAATTAGAAATGGCATACTCATTTTGTACAGAATGTTTGTTTGTATCCATACTAAAGCTGGCACATAATTCAGATAATAATTGAGATGCAGGATCAAGAGGTAATGAAGGTACATTACCTGCAATTCCACTTTTTTTTACAGATCCTCCGTGTTTCATATCAGCACTTTGCTTTATTTCATTGACCAATTTTAATTCTAACATCTCCTTCATCCCTGGTTTGGATTCGAACGTATCTGTGATACCAACGGCAGCAGGAGGCGGAGGTGGAGGAGGAGGTGGCGGTGGTGCTTCTTCCGGAGATGACGTTAGTTCCGTTGATTCTAGTCTTACATTACTAGACACCTCCTTTGTTTTAAGAATTGTTTTTTTATCATCTAAAGATTTACTGCAGTGCGTTTCGCTGGTAGTTTCTCTGCGCCGTAAATTAACACCAAATCTAGAACTAGCTTCCTTCACAGAAGGTTCTACATTTCTAACATCGTTATTTTTATCATCTTGATCGTCATTTACCTCATCCTTTATTTTCCATTCGGCTTTTAATTTCCTCACGCTTACTGGCGAATTGGTTGTTTTAATATGAGAAATATCACTATTAGGAGAGGCAGTTACAGGCGGTGGCAAATCGCATTGATCTGCCGAATTAAAAATGTCATCTGGCGGTGGTGGTAAGTCTATAGGAGGCGGAGGAAATTCGAGATCGGCAAGTGTTGGTTGAACCGATCTCGATGGACTAGCCGTTCTAAAGCCAGTATTATTTGGACCTCGGAAAGTTCTTAATCCAATATTTTCCGTATTATTTTTTCTAATCCCGACCGTCCGACTGCGTGGTGAATTTGGTGGTTGATAAGTATTTACTACACCACTGGAAGAATTACTGCGCGTCATTTGTGGCTGATTACGTAAATTGTTTTGACGAGGAGATAGCGAACGGTGCTGGGGCGTATCCGTATTACTTGTAACGTCGTGTTGTTCCATAACGGTAGATATTGCAGATGTGGTAGCAATATTATCTTGATTAGAAGGCATTCCACTCTGGCGAAGGCTTTCTAGGTAGGCGCCAATTCTTGCACCCTTAGGTAAGGTGCCATAACGGTTAATTGCCCGTTTAACATTTTGCACCTCTAGTGCACCTACATGTACCAACTGAAATAAATTTAATTATAAGCTTCATATGTTTGTAAACGTTGAAATCCATTCAAGCAGTGCTAAATGCATTTACCATTAGACAAAATTTAGTAAGTTAAAGAAGACTATAGTATATATATATATATCTCAATATAAATATCGATCGTCACATTATTTGTAATACTTTTTGAATTACAATATTTTTACACGGATAATGACTACTATACATTTTAAGCCTGGCCACAATGTATGTTCATTGTACCTTCTGAGGCAGTACTTCCTTAGATGGATAAGGTCGTGTTTTAATTTGTTTCTGATTGCATGGTATGTTCGGTACAGGTTCTGGCGAAGTTGATGGTTGAGGAACAAAATTGGGTTCTGCTGTCCCCTGAGACCCATCTCCATCGTCGTCCACTTCGCAACCTCCTGTAGTAATTGACTGTGTAGCCATTGTCACAAGATCTCGTGTGATACCTGATTTGTCATTTAATAAACAAAGTATACTGTATATAATCTAGGATTAAATATTCCTGTAGTAAGTAAGCATAACTTTATACAGGAATAGAATATTATAGCTCTATATCACAGATTGAAAAAAGAATTTGTTTTTAGATAGAGAAAATATCAATGCTATATCGTTTTACTGTATATATTTCTTTCATATAACTCAGGGTCATTCTCCTTAAAATATGATCATCAAAGGGAAGAAGTTCCTTATAGAAAAGACTCTTATTTCATTAAACAAGTGTTAGTTCAATGTTGGTAATATGTATGGTTCTCTCGTATGTACTAAAAATGACTGTTGAAAAAGATACTGTCGACAAAATTCGTGCAGGCCAGAATTAGTTATGATTAGGTGTTTTTTAATATTTTATATAATGCACGTGCGTGCGTGAATGTGTTTAGAAACATGAGTAAACTCACATAACACTGCTTGAACACATTCAAAATTTATATATGAATATAATATTTCATTAAAATATTGAAATTTTTTTCTTTATTCTACGAGATACGAGTAATACTTTCAAAATGGAAATTACTTAAAATTGTAAAAAACAAAAAAAGGAAAACCAAATTATATGAGATATAAAATGAAAATATTTCCATTACTTCTTTTTTTGTTGTAATATTTACATCATGCATAAACATGATATATATTTGGATTAATATTAAAAATAAATATATTATCACCAATTTATCATAAAAGCAGTCATAAGAAAAATTAACAAACAAAAAATGATAATAATAAACTGCAACTACGTATAAATTGCTTAAGATTCACTAAGATACAAATGTGCACTGAATATAATATATCCAACAATTACTTTTAGAACTTTCAATTATTTTGCATTTTACTATGCACATTCAGAACATATTGGCTCACGGAGAATGACCCACATTCCTGAAGCTATGAGCCACAGTAGATAAAATATAACAAAATCAACAAAAATGAAATTCGAATGAATAGAATTCAAGCTGCAACGTGCATACATCATTACACTTAATTAATATAATGAAATACCTTCAAAAATCTTATCAATACCATTTAGATCTGTGGCATCATCGAGTGCTATGGTGGCAGCATCGGTATTTTGTTGATCTTGTTCCTGGTATGCCGAATCGCGAAATGAACTGCACGATGATAATAAACTATAAAAAAGAAAAATGAATCATAGTATTACAAGTAAAATCCTTGCCTTATATTATAGCTTATAAAATAAAATAAAACTTACCTTGTTCGTTTTGGAGGAGCCGGTGCTTGTTTTCCTTTTTTATTCGTCGAGCGTCTCATTTGTACGATATTACTGTTACTTTTACTCGACAATCCACCCACAAAAGTACTTAATTTAGTTACAGAACTAGCACCATCTAAATCCAAGACAATTATTTTGATATTACAAATACAAATTTGATAGAAAATTGTTTAGAAAAATAACATTTATAATAAATTGCAGTTTATACCTTGTGCTATACCAGAGGAAGACATTTGTTCGGATACAAGTACGAGTCCATGAATATTTCCTGTACTACCTGTTTGTGATTTTTTATATGCAAGCAACGGAATTTCTCCTCCGCCTTGTAATTGTTTTTCAACTTCTAAAATAAATATATTTATATTTGTTTGTTAGTACATGAATATTATTGTATGTCAATTTGACACCTCAGAGATATTAAAAGCACAAATGCTTTACCTTCAGTAATACTAGATTCTTGAAACATGTTTTCTAATGAATGATGAATTTCTTTGAAAGTTGGTCGTTCTATTGCTGACCATTGCCAACATTGTCTCATTAATTCGTACACTTTAGGTGGGCAACCGGGTGGACATTCCATCCTATAGCCCTTTTCTAACATATGATAAACATCTGTCAAATCCACGCCAGGATACGGAGACATACCGTAAGTTGCTATTTCCCATAATAAAATTCCAAATGCCCATACATCAGACTGCAAAAATTCAACCTGTTATATGGAAGTTCTATTATCGAGTTGTTCTAGAAAAATTATAATTATTACCTTTGTAGAAAACTTATTATAAGCTAAACCTTCGGGAGCAGTCCATTTAATAGGAAATTTAGCACCAGCATGAGCTGTATACGTATCATCTCTCATTAATCGTGCTAAACCAAAATCTGCAACTTTTACTAAATGATTTTCACCGACCAAACAATTGCGTGCTGCTAAATCTCTGTTTTAAGAATTAAGTAAAGTTTTAATATAATTACAATAATAAATAATTTATGAAAAAGATTAAAGATACACAAATAATAGAAACATGATGAATAATACAACAATTATATCGAATTGCAAATACCTATGAATAAAATTTCGGCTTTCTAAATAGCTCATGCCACTTGCTATCTGTGTTGCCATATGCATAAGAACAACAGCATTGATTTGATGTTTACTCTCATTACGCAAATAGTCTAATAGATTTCCTTTGCTCATAAATTCAGTAATTATGTAAAATGGTGGTTCACGCGTACAAACTCCTAATAATTGTACCAAATTTCTATGTTTCATTTCTTTCATTATGGCAGCTTCTTCTAGAAAATCTTTAAGTGCCATTGTATCTTCCTATAATTAAGGATTTAATAATAATATAGTTATAAATATAATTTTAAATCTATATAAATCATAGAATATTATTATAAATACCTTTAATGTCTTCACAGCAACCGTCATATTATACCTCTTCCAAACTGCTTCATATACATCACCATACTGTCCCCCACCTAATTTATGCCTCATTACTATATCAGTCCGATTAATTTCCCATTCATCTGGCTCTGAAATAGATTATAGTTTATATGATTTCATAGAGTTTTATTTGTTACATAATATTTTATAATATCAAGAGATTTATATATTACAAAAATTGAATGTGTGTTAATATATATAAATTATAATATTATCAGAAATTATTATTGTGTTTTATTTTAGATGAATTAAGCTAAACACATATAATTATTTTATTTTCCCAAATAATTCGTTAATAAAATGCAAGTAACACTTTATGTTTTAACGTCATGCACATAAAAAATTGTAATTAAATATATGGTGTATTAAAATGAAATTAAATAATAAAAAAAAGCGATAAAGAAATTAAATAGATGAATAAAATAAATAACATTGATCTTCCTTTTTTGTTCAGGTATTGAGTAATTAAAAAAGTAGGCTAGGACAAAGAAAAGTATTTAAGATATTGACAAAAATATATACGCCACCTGGACTAAGTGGAAACACAGTAGGCTTGTTATGCTTTGGTGCGGGATAAAGCAGTTGCGTAATAAGACCATCGGCAAGCATTGAATGATGATGAACCAGTTCGGCTAATGTATTAAATTTACTTTCTGTTGTGACAAACATCTGAAATGATGGAATATGAGAGTTACATGAATTTCTCTATTTGTTAATCAACCAACTAACCTTTCCTTCGCTATCTTCATTGATTCTGTAATGATAAACTCGTCCTTCATATCTCAAAGAAATACTACGTTGACCTGGACTGCTCTCTGATTCACGAACAAGAAAACTACCATTTATGCCAGAACTTAAAAGATACTCTGCTGCATTTCTAGATATTCTTCCATGATACCAAGAATGTTTTTCCAATGAATTAACAGGAGTTACATAGTTCGATGGAACCCAACCTACTTGCCCTGCACTCGAATGTGCTTCACACCACTCGCCACTTTTATTATAACTGAGAATACGTACTTGTTCACCTAATTATTTAAATTATTAAGAATTCTATTATTATCTGTGTTCAATAAAGAATGCAACTAGTGATATTATACTCTAATTTGTAATATGTACCTTTCTTCAAACTAAGCTGATTTTCTCCGCCTGCTTGAAAATCATATAATGCAACGAATAATTGTGGATCATCTTCTTCTTGTGTCAAAAGGTTCTCCTTGCTAGTCCACCTAGTTCAAACATCATTGTAAATAATTTTATATTTCATGATTGTTAAAGATACTTGAAAGTATCTCAAAACTTTCTTAATATAATCGTATACACGTAAAGTTCACAACATTTGATACAACTTTGTAATCATAAAATATTGAAGAGAAAAATAGAGTAAATATCTAATACATGGATGCAAGTATGCATATAGGTAATTGATAAATAAATTCATGTATTTAACCTATTAGCAGCTTCAAGTAGTCCACTAGTAGATACACTAGTATGCTGTTGAATATTTGCTTGTTGTGAAATTGGTTGAACATTAGAACTACTAGGAGGATCTCCCTCTGGCAATGCTGGAATGTGAGGTAGGGGTCTACTTTGTAATAGAGCCTCTGTAAAAAGAAAAAAGAAGACGAATAGTTAGAATTGAAGTAGGGATAATGATAAAATGATATAACAGTATCTTTTTCATTCACTAATTACTACAATCATTGACTATAACTATTGCATAACAGTATCTATATGCAATTATGACTTTAAATTTTGTAAACTCTATCAAGTCAGTTACATAATAGAAAAAAGAAAAATTGCATTTAATGATCATTCAAATGAGAATAAAAAATTAAGAATAAATTAAACTGACTGTTAAGAATAAAGAAAAATGTTGAATAAGTGAATGAGTGCATTCAAAGTAGTTGAAACGTGAAACATGTAATGGAACGTGTTACATGTTGTTACAACTATTAATTATGTATAATTATAGACAATTTCATAAACGTTAGATGGTTGATATTAATTTGTAAAATATAATCTAAAAAAAAAAAAGTAATAATTCATAAAAATTGCAATAATTGTAAATTATATTTAGGAGTAGTATCATTTGGATATAATATGATAAGAAATAAACAAATAATAATACTAATAATAAAGATGGTTAAATATAAATGTAAAAAGTATAGTGTAAAAAAGTATAGGGTGCAAGAGTAATAAATGTAAAAGAATGTACATAACAATTGATATGCATTACCACTGTGTTCGGTAAATATGTTGGATCCAATGATACGAGAGTCCTTTAAATTTCTGGGTTGCTTTCGCGTTTGTCGCACGGTAGACCCGGCTGGAATAATTCTGTCTTTAGTTTGTTGAGCACCCATAGTTCCTCAATTACCATGCCCTTATATTCCCCCTCGGCTAGAAATACGCCGAGGCTCAAAAGTTCCTCACTCACTCTCACTTTAAATCGACACTTATTCGAACTTACATTCTATTTATTATGGAATAAAACGCGAGTCTATTTAAATATCAATTATGATCACTCTTACGACCTCTTATATCTCACATTTTTATATGTCAATTATGCTCGCTACTTCTCGCCATATTTGACAGCTTTGACGTCGATTATTTAGTTTGTCGGCGCATTGCTATGGGGCAGCACATCGGGGGTTGGCTTACATGCGTGCACCAATAATATCTTCATTTCGATCCGTCGAAATATCGAATTATACTTATTTTCGATATATCGATATTAAGATAATTTGAATTATCTTTTTATCATTCGACCCTTCCATTTCTATATAAAATAATTAAATATCAATATATTTATATGTTTATGATAAATAATCAATTTTCTTTACAATTAAACAAATAAAAATGCACTTTTAATCGACATTTTTATATTCATGAAAGTAAATCCAATGGTACTAATTCTACAAGTATAGATCGATCCTTATTGGATGTTTATTATCTATGAGAGCTGATAATCTTCTTAATTTAATATTCTATAAATCATCTGTGACGAGTAAATTATTAATTATATATTCAATTGCAATAGTTTAATTAGGAAATAAAATTTATATTTTATTTGAAAAAAATTAATGCTATCGATGACATAACGATTCTTATTATGATTATTAAAATCACTTTTTAAAGAGAATTATTTGAAATTGCAATTGTGTGTGTGTGTGCATTAATCAAGGCATAGATGCAATAATTGTATGCGATTGCAACGCTAGCCTTTGTTGAGACGGCAAAATCTGTTACTAATTTGTAATATACTTGCCTATACTGGTCGCCATAGAACTTACTATAAATTACCCGAAATATTAGATGTAATTTGGGTGAGCTACTTCGTTAATTTAAAGTCTAAAAGTCGAATATTTTTATTGTTATTTCATTTAACGTTTAATTAGAAATATATTCATTTTATTCCAAGAAAGTTATTGTCAATTACACCTTATAACAGATCTTAGTCATCCGGGTAAATTAATATGAGAAAATCAACAATTTTTGTGCGTATTTTAAAAAAACTATGCACTGACAGTTTGACAGGGACGTGTCATTGACATCAATGAATGATTTTCTAATTATTTAGATACATTTTATTTCATTGATATATGTAGTTTCATATTAATTAATCTTTCTTTGGAAATGACAAGTTACCCATTTCATTGGACCACTGATACTTATTTTATTTATTTAAATAAATAATGTTATTTGTCTCTTATTTTCAATATTTTATTGTTCGTTAAGGTAGGAATGTTTTTTTAATTTTTTAGCTCATGATGTTAAATTTGAATGGCAGATAACAGATGGCTGGAAGCAAGAACATTTTAATAATTATCTTTAATGCCTACTCCAAGGATTAGTTTTGTTATCAGCCTATCAATTAACCTGTCGCTGTCAAGATGAGTGTCAATACAGCAGCTGTTGCAGATCTTTTTAATTTACTCGAATCCAATAAACTTGGGGAGGTTGAAGAAATAAAGCAAGTATTCCACGAACACTTCTTGTCTAGTAAGTAAATCATATTACATTTCTATATCATACTATCATTTTCTATAATAACATTCGATTACCATTTAGCAAAAGATAGCTGGCTCGTCAATGGTTTATTGGACTATTATCTTTCAACAAATTCTTCACGTATTGTGGAAGTATTAGCAGGTGTACGCGAGCCCCATGATAAACATTTGTTAGATAGATTGGCAGAAGTTATTTGTAAGACTGGAAATAATAAACAAAAAATTAAAGGGCTTACTTTGCTCGGTCATATCGCTCGTAAACAACCGACCTGGTTATACAAACTTGCTAATCATACTTTGTTTCGAGATTTGTTAAAATTGCTCAAGGTATAATACAGTTTATTTCATTGAAGTCATTAATTTGTGTATATTAAATCATTTCATTTCGAGATTATATTCTGATTAATTTCTTTTCTTTTTGTAGGTGGAAACAGATACATTATCGCTTATGAGTGCACTTCTTTTATTGGTCATGTTGCTACCGATGTTACCTGTCGCATTAGGACCATATTTGCAAGAAATATTTGAAGTATTCGGCCATCTGGTTTTTTATTATTATCAACAGTCTTTGACGCTCTCTCATCCTAGACATACAACATCAAATATGGTACTTAGCAGTATTGACATAGATCATCTTTATCTGTTACATTTACAGGTGAGTATTATTTATTCATTAAATTAATATAATACAATAAATTCCATTCGAAATACAAAGTAATAATATATTGTAGGTGGGATTATACAGTTTATTTCACAGACTATATGCTATGTATCCTTGCAATTTCATCTCATATCTTAAACAACAGTGTTTTCAACGTGATCAAATGTCTACTTTTTCTCATACTATTAAACCAATGTTAGATTCTGTGCGTATGCATCCCTTTCTTGTTACAGCATCTAAGGATACTGAAATTTCTGCCACGAGGTATAAATTTAATTATAATTTATTGTCAATTGATGTAACAATTAAGAACAAAAATTTAATTAAATTTATTGTAGATGGAAAAAAATGGAACATCATGATATTATAGCAGAGTGCGATCGTTTCACGTTAGACAAATGTAGAGAGGAAGTATTTGGAGTTACGAATTCTCGATTTACACCACCTTTAGGTTAGTATTTATTATAGAATATTATTTATACGTAAAGGGTTATTTAAACTTGCAGTATTTATAGATCATTCTTCCAATTTTGTACCACTAAATATCAGTGGAGGATTGACTACCACCGAGATAAGTAACGGAGATGAGGAAACATTTTGGTCTCCTAGTATGACTGTTCCACCACACAGTCCATCATTCCAAAGTACATCTCACGAAGTTCGTTCGACTCCTTCAACACCTAATACTAATAGAAGTGGTACATCTCCACCGGAAGCTGCTGTTGAAGCTACACCAGAAACGACACCTGTTAAGGTATGTTGATTTTATAAAAATAAACTTTCAGGTAATTGACAAATTATTATTTTGATATAATTTAGGATGTTCGTAAGCTATCAACAAGGCAACCTCCAGTTGGATCTGCTGCTGTTCGTGCTCTCAGTATTTTGAGCAATGGTGCAGTAACCCAAACGTCACGACCTTCTACGCCTATTCCTTTAAATCCTTCTGTATCAAATATTACATACTCTGGAATAAATTCTAGCGATACTGGAACTACCGTGCCAGGATTTCTTTCGCAAAAGATCAGTAGATTAATTGCTGATAGACAAAATGCTGCTAATCAATCAATGAAATTAACAACCATTGAGGACGATAGTGGTGTTACGGAAACTGATATAACTCAAAATTGCAAGAACGATTCATGGCAAGAAGATCAAGAGGTTTTATTAAATAAAATTAATATTTCATTATATATACATTCGTCATTTAATTTAATAATTACTTTATGCTATCATTGCATATTAAAACCGTGGACTTTATTACAGGTTTTGGAAATTGTAAGCTTTCAAAATAGTAGCAGTCTTGAAATTCAAAAAAGTAGGGAACAAAAAGCGGATTTCCAAGCTGAGAAATTACACGGTACTATAGCAGATTTGTCTCAAAAAGTTCAACAGCTTCGTTTTTATTCTCAATGTCAACAGCCGATACAACATATTAATAAGAATTTAAATAAGGTAAAATATATTGAATTTTTAATTGATATCTTGAATATCTTGAATAAAATTGTATTCGATTTAGTTGAGAAGAACCAGATCATGTTCGGATATGAAAATGCAAAAACGGATGGATAATAACGAAGGAAAAGAAACAAATTTCATTAAAAAGTTCGAAGAAAGTGGGACTCAAACGAATAGCTTATATCAATACGAGTACTTGCTGTTAGGAATCTTAGATCAGAAAGAACAAACGTCCGAACAAAAAACTATTCAACAAAATTCGGAATTGAGAGTATCGCCAACCACTATGCTTGATCGTTACGTTGATATTTGTGCACGTGCAAGTAGTTTTTCTAACGACAACAACAAAGCACGTAAGTATTATTGCACAATTTGTTCAGTTTATCTTCTTAAAGAGTATGAATAAAATCTAACAAATTTTTATTTGCAAATACCAGGTAGAAATTCAACAAAAATAAAGATTGCAGAAGATAGTACAGAAGATGATGCGGGAGAGGAAGATAATTTAGATACGGATCACGTAAATCAATTGTTGCAGCTAATGCAAATGCAATTGCAATTTGAACGGCAGCGAAGAGAAGTGCACGCTGAACGTAACAGAAGACTTCTTGGTAAATTAAGAGATTCACGAGCATTGGAAGAGCACAATAATGCATTAGTAAGTATATTTAATATTTTTTATAATAAATCTTACTAAATTTTTTTACACATTTTTCATTATCATTGAATATTATATTTAATTTTTTAATTCTTTTAGACTGATCGGTTTAGAATGTTAGAAAGAGAGGTGGAAAATTTAAAAATTGAATTAGATAAAAGTAAAAGGGATAACCGAGAAGCTGATGAACGATATAAAGATGTATTACATCATTGGCAAACTAAGGTTTGTTATATATTACATTTTAGATTTTTCTAAAAGCTACTATCTATCCAAATAAAATAACATAATAATATTTTTAACGATGTATGATACAATAGTGTGTAGAAGGGGAACGACAAAATCAAATTTTAAAAGATCGAAATGAATCACTCAAATTAGAACTAAAAGAGGAACAGAAAAAGGTAGCTGTATGTGAACAAGAAACACGTTCTGCGGAGGCTGCATTGTTTGACGCAGGACACCAACTTAAAGAAGCATTAAAGGCAGCTAATCGTACGAAAGATTTGGAGAATAATCTCGATATTGTACAAAAGAAACTTCTTCTTTTAGGAGAAGTAAGTTTAATGTTAATTCGATAACAATGTTAACTGATTTACGAAAAAGAAACAAATTTTATATTTACTTTTTGTAGGCACAATCGAAATGGCAAGAAAACATAGGAGCACGGTCGCCTATTGTCAATCAAGAAGCAACACAGATACAACATACATATGCAGATGAAATAGCAAGTAAATATAAAGCTTTGTTTTATAAAATTAATGATATTAATAATATTCTTATTTAGTATGAGATATATATAATGTGGTTTAATATATTTTTTTTAGATCTACGACGGCAATTAGAATCCCGTACTTCTCAAATAGAAGTTTTAAGAGTACGTTTAGCTGAATTAGAAAATAAAGAAAATCGTAAAGAAGCACAACTGGTAGAAATTCAACGTTCTCTGTTAGAAACTAAAGATCAACATGAAACCGAATTAAATGCAGTTGAATCTAAATATAAGGCACAATTGGAAATAAATCTTTTATTAGAAAGTCGTATACTCGAACTTCATGGTAAAATCGAGAATTTAACTTACGGAGCTAGTACCAGTACTGGAAATCTTCCATCTTCTGCATCTCCTAAAGAACGTACTCCTCCTTTATCAGTCAGTTTAGCTTCGTCAAGCGAAGGCAGCCTTGCTTTTATTCACTCCAGCACTGGGATTATGAATGATTGCTGTGATTCTGCAGGTGAAATTCCGAATCTGCAAGCTATTGTTGAACCTATCCCAAGTAATCAAGTTACTTCACCATCTCGCTCAAATCAACAACGACAATTTCCAAAGCAAGATTAACATATTATTGAAATAATTCTCTATTAAACAGGCCTTTGTTTCGCATCATTGCAAGTTATGTCTGGTGCTGTGCTGATCATTAATCAGAGGAAAGGTTATTTGTAGCTTTTTATTACTAGATTAGTTGTAATTTACTAAATCTTGTTATTACGCGATTGCCATTTATAAGTAAAGAGACATGTTACTTAATCGAGTTATTAATAATGGTCAACCTTTACTGTTCACAAACGAAGCAAGAATAAAAGGTTCAGATATTTTATGAAAATCTTATTATATTCATTTCAACTTACTAATTGCCCATTATTTTTAAGCGTAAGTATTAACAAATGTTTAATCAATTTACTGAGTATATATTTCAATCATATTTGAATTCCACCTAAAGATATAAAAAATTAAATAAATTATTTATATGATCATAATATGATCTTTTATTATATAATAACATTTACACTCATCTTAAAGCATATACTGTAATTGATTGTACTATAATGTTGGTAATTATAGATTTTGTCAATAATATAAGTATATCTCATTGCAAAATTAAATACGAACAGTGGGGTTTGTATATTCATTAACATCACAGATGTCAATGCATATTTTAAATATTTTTAAGTACATATTTTGAAACCAATCAAGATCAACTTGAACGTAAAGCCCTATATTCTGTTGAATGAATTATCTCTTATGTCACCCTTCTACGCACACTACAATAGAAAAATAAGTATGATTAGATTAAATTTGCATTAATCGTTTAAGTCCCAGTGGTTTTTAGAAAAAATTGTGTTGACAAATGCAAAAGATATTTGAACAGTGTAATTGAGCAGCTTGGGACTCAAACGATTAATCTTTGTTTATTTTAATATGTTTGTAATTCTTGGCTAATAGTCATTAAAATCGCATCATCTGGATTAGCATAGCTAACTAGATCTGGAATAATTAAAAGTAAAAAGTTTAAAATACTATATTTTGATGTAACGATTAAGGCATATTATAAAATATCCTTACTCACGATTATGACATCGTTGTGAAGAATACATTTTGCGTAAGATTAATTGCATGAGCCAGAAAATACTTAGCCATACAAGAGCACCCACTGAAAATACTCTAAATGTTATAACACCTCCGTATACGTCCATTATCCATCCACACAATAAAGTACCACTTGATGCACCTAAAATTATAATTTACATAGTAAAACTAACATCGTTAACATTGAATTTGACTTATATAATACAAGGAAATTTGAACTAACCAATTCCTTCAAAAATAGCACCTATTAAGCCTTGTATAGTAGCTTGAGTACCAGGAGGAGTTACTTTGTCACCATAGGATACCATTGTTGGCCAACAGAGACCAAATGATGGACCATGAAATATTTCCAAAGGTAAAAATAACCATGGATTTGATATTACGCTGTATGCCATAAACCTTCAAGAAATCTCTTATTATTGATTTATATATCTTATATAAAAATCTCTTATTATCTTTTGAGCTTACCTTATTGAATAAATGAGTAATACAAGACTCATAACATTTATATGGCCAAATTTTTTCAAAATACTTCCAGATAAGAAATTAAACGGCAATTCTGCTAAGAAGCATTGTATACCAGTCAATAGACCTTGCAAAGTTTTAAGCCATTTAGTTTGCGAGATTGTAGCTAAATTTTCAGTATGCCAAAATAGAAAGTTCCATACTACTCCTGTGCACATTCCAGCACCTATGCACCACCATCCAAATATCCACACATTAGGCTCTTTAGCGACAGTTAGCAACTCCTTCAGCATCGATGGTTCATCAGAACATTCAGGATTTTTCTGTAATGATACTGCTTGCTCCCATTACCTGCCAATTTTGGATTCTTTTGATAAGTAAGCAGAGTTGTGCTTTTATAATGTCAACCCATATTACTTCGAACACACCTTTCTCAGTGTAGACGACACCATAATATCAAGAATCATAAAGATCAACATCATAAAAAATATACATGTATAATCCTTTTGAAATTCTCCTTCACTAAAAATATCTACCAAGTATCCTGCTGCTATACCAAAAATTCCAAATCCAATGCTGCCCCACATCCTTTGTTTACCATAATCACTTCTTCTTTCATTTCCTAAAATATATATTATTGTATCATTATATCTCTTAACAATAATATTAATTTTGTAAAAAGAAATAATAACTAATAGAAGTAATACAAACCAAGTAAATTAAAAGTAATAGAATCAGCTATGCTAACAATAACTGCCATGCAAACCCAACTCGCAGTAGCAGCCCATAAAAATAAATGAAATTGATGCGTCGAAGGTGTTGTATGCTCATTATAGTTATTAGATTCACGTAATAATTCATTTAAGGCTGGATGATGGCAAGTAGCGAGACACGAAGTTTTTAATAACTTTTTACAAGCTGGTACATGCGTAATTCCATTGGAAAAAGTTATGTTAGAAACTCTTAGACTCGTATAGTGTTTTTCCTAAAAAAAAAAACAAATATAAAATTTATTAAAATAATGAATAATAAGCTTTCTCAAAAATAATAATATTGTATATAATGTAATTGACTTACAGGTAAATCTTTGTACATGTTAATCGTTGCTATAAAATCAAACGTTTCATTTGAAATAATATTAGAATCGTTTGTATGACAATACTTTGGATTCCATAGGCACAATTCTTCATAAGCTCTTTGAGAGGCTTTACAAGATAACTAAAAACAAAATATTATAAAGATTTTAATTATATATATATTATAAATATAACAATACCTGGCATGTAGGATTATTCATAGTTTCCCTGGCTGATATTACAGAGACTAATACATCTTCAGAAAATCCTTCTTTAGAACGTACTTCTAAAAATAAATCTCCTTCACAAGTAAAAGTAATATTTGTACTTGTATCTGACTGAGGTATAAAATGAATGGAGAAAAGACTTATGATTAGCAATACTTGAAATAGTAAAAAGAAAGTTTTAGGAAGATTAAATTTATCAGCTAATCCTCCAAACAATGGTTTTGCGACTAAACCAGATATGGGTAATACTGTATAAATTGTGCCGACCAAACTGCTTGAAAAACCTAATTGCTTTGCTATCGTTGGTAAAAATGGCACTATGGGACCAGTAGCTGAAATAAAAAAGAAAATATTTCGTTAAAATGTAAACTAACTTTGTTATTAATTTAACATTGATATTTACCGGCATTAAAAAAGAAATAATGCGCTTTAATAGGAAGAAGACTTTTGTCTACGTTGTCCAGCATTGTGTTAAAATATAATTAATGTTCTAATTCGAATACAAATATCTAATCAAACTAATAATTTGAAAATAAACAATCACGTCAAATGCAGTGCATAATTGACTAATGTAAAAACAAAATAAAATTTAAAAAATTGTAATATCAGTTATTTTGGCAACGTTGATTATCAAGATGTCACCAAATTAAGTGTCAATAAGAAGACTATTAATTATCTTTTTAAATAAAATAGATTTTTAAGATTATTTATTACAAAAATATATAAATCCTACTTTTTTTAATTCTATATATTTTCTATATGTAAAAGTTTCCTCATTGTAAAATAATTTTTAGAATGTTAATATCCAATTTGTATTGATAAAATATCAATTCACTTTTAGATGATAATTTTTAATTAACTATCACCTTTTTACTTTAGATTAAATTAATATAAATAAAAAGAAATAAAATAAAAAAGATAAATACAAGTATTTAATCTCTTTTGTGTATTTAAAAAAATATTAAAAAGAAAAAGAATGCAAAGTTGGGATTACACGAATGAAAGAAAATAATTTGTCTCCGATATCAAGAGTTCAACTTTAGACTGTCCAAATGTTAAATTGTAAGATGATCTTGATTAAAGTGCAAAAATGATGATATTACAATCTTGGGGAGAAAAATCACATATAGAAAAGCAATCTCAACTAACGAACCAGTTATTCGTCATAGGTGCGCTAGTGTCGTTACTATTCGTATTTTTATATATATATATATGATCTGTTTTATATCATTTGATAATTACTTTATTAGCACTTTTAATTAGCAAAGCGACCAATTAAATGCAAGCTCTTATGATAAACAATTTAACGATCCACCATTATAATTGTTATCTACATTAAGTATGTTTCAAATATTTATTTAATTAAAATTCTTTTTCTATGAAAACATTTTTATGCACTTCAATTGTAATTGAAGTTTGTTTACAGTAACATTCCATTATTAATTCATATATATTTCTTTCCTTACAGTAGCAAGCTAAAAAAAACTAAATAAAATACATGTGATTATTTTTATAAAATACTTTTTAAAAAAATTGTACGATTAGCGTACAATGAGATAACGAAGCTTATTATACTCTGCTGTTACAAAATAATATTCGAACATTATCTTTTATAATCCATTAAGTTTTTTACAGTTTCCTAATTAAGATACATTACACGTAATTAGAATAGAAATTTATTTACAATTTCATTTGATTCATTGATTATTATTTTTCTTATATATATTTCTATAGTGTTTAAATACATTATTATTATATTTATAATAATTTAATACTATTAAAGAGAATATATATATGTCATAGTATATTATATCACAAAAATTATTTATTTGGAATTTATATCCTTTGATATAACATATACAAACATATAAGTTGATGGTATGTCTAATAGTTTCATATTAGATTAAATATCAATATATTATACCGAATTTTTATCTATGTCACGAGCTGCTCGCTTGTATCATTGATTGGTTATCTACTTGCATATAAAATTGCTCCCCAAACCATTCTCTATGCATTTCCAAGTAACTGTAAATAAACGTATATAATCTTCATCGTTTAATATTTTATTACTCATTCAAATAATTTTTTCTTTACCTGAGAAACATATCTAAATATTTCATTAGAAGTTTTAATTTTTTATTTGGAATATCAGCGGATTGCAACAAATCAGGTAATATCACTGAAATAAAAGAAAATAAAAAAGTAAATTAATTGTCTCTTGCACAAAATGATTTAATGTAGCCATATTCAGTGCTATATTTCGTGCTTTTTATGTTTAGCCTATAAGATTCACAACGATTAGGAGCCTTATTCTTTATATTTAATTAGATAAACGTATTAAGAGTATCATATTGCAATAGTGCAAAGTGTTAAATATCTACTTCTATTTTTATGATAAATGACTTTTATCCCTTAAACAAATAAACGTACCAAATAGTCGTGTAAGATGAATAGCGCCGTAATAAGTAGAAGGATTTGGAGTATTATTACTACACGTCGAAGAATCCGGTATCAATCTCCATTTATTCGATTGTTGTAGTAAAGCGTTTATTTGGGCAGAGGGAATAACAGGCATTCTCAGTGTTACACCGCGTGGACTAGAACATCTGGAGCTTGTACTTGCTATGCTATTGAATACGATTTGTTATCGATTAAGTTTTATATTCGTTTAAATACACTAACGAAAAAAAAATACCTCGATAAATTTCCCGGATCAGTTTTAACATCATCGAAAGAACGCAATTGTCTATTTTCTTCTACAGAACCAAATCTGTACGATCTTAATCTTCGCTTAGAATTAATAGTATTTTTGGAAGTAGATTCTATGTCTTGTTCGTGTTCTTGAAATGGTGGTAAATGAGCATATTCTGTATCTTCGAATTCTTCTTTGATCGAAATATCTGTATGTCTTATCAATAATATCAAGTATAAAAATCTATAAATTTTCGCTACCATGAATGTGTTACAACAATTTTGTATCTACTACTTACTCGATCGTTTCTTCTTTTATTATTTGCACCTGTTCCGCGTATAAAAATGAAGATTTTAATGTACAGTACTGTTCTCTTTCTTGTCTGTATAATAAAAGATCATGTAAAGTGAAGTCAAAGTATATACGCAATCCATCTGCTATTTCTCTGCATATGTTAACTTCATTTATTGTTTTTTCTATGGAATTATTAGTTTTATTTCGTTGCGGTTTGTCTGGAATGTTTGTTAATTGTGTTGTAGTAAAATGTTGCACCCATGACTCTAGAATACTCGAAACTGTTGGTTGCGCAGGTAATACAGCCAACTGAAAAAGATGTTCAAAGAAATTTAAAAAATAATAATTATAATTGAAAAATATTTACATATGTACATGCAAGAGGATACATAATGCGAAAGTATCACCTTGTTTTTACTAGTAATTAAATCATGATCTAAATCCAAAATTCTTTTCAGGGTGGTACCTATATCAAGATCAACTCCTGGCTTAACGCTTGCACCAGATTGACTTCCACCACCACTGCCTTCATCATCACTACTTTCACCAACATAATCTGAACTACTTTCGCTATCTTCTTCTGTAATAATTTCCTGTGAATGAAAGACATACAAGATGTATTTCTCAGTTTTAAACCCTTGTACAATAACAATGTATAAGACACATGATAAGTTTAATGGACCAAACTTATGAATATGACACATAGCTCGGTATTTTAAATCATAACGCAAGAGATTAAACAAAATTATTGAAAATAAAATAATAATACTTCTGTGTCGTAATCAGCCTGTTGTCCTGAACTACCATCTTCAGAAGATCCAGTAGTAGCAGAAGTAGCTCTACTGCCACCGCTTCTCGCTCTCCTCCGTGGTTCCTGATTTTCTGATTCGTTTAGACGATCTGATAATTTGTGACTTCTTTTCTTACGTTCTCGGCGATATAAGTAGGCTCCCCTTATTCAGATAGATGAATTTTTTGAATAAATTTTGAAGAGTGCAATAGAGTTCTTGAAAAAGTTTACAATTACATTTCAGATCTACATAAATAATATTAATGATAAATATTAATAAAGTAGAAAAAAAATATTGAATAGTTTGATTTAATAGGATATATATATATATATATATATACAGTTGAAGTTGTGCTTTCTGTGCAAGGTCTCTCTGAAGTTGTCGATTCTCTTCGGTGTCTTTTAGAACATATTCTTCTGTTACACAACGATCCCATGATGAGTTCCATCCCTGAATAAGAAAGAGACATTTTAAAATGTAACAAAATACAAGCAATATCCAAATAAACATTACAAGTATCTCACTTGAAAGTGTATCAAATATTCTACTGCTTTTCTTCCTCGTTGATCTTTATTAATAATAACATCTAAAACCTATAAATAATTATATAGGAATTAAATATTGAATATGTTCGAATAAGAATTTTCCTACCTTAGAATCATACAACACTTTAGCTTTCGTGGGATCAGGCTCATAACAAAGCACTTTTTCACCATCACAGAATTTAAATTTAGGTCCACGTGTAGAAACCATTATTTTATACGTTCGGTCTGATTATAAAGATTATAATTAAACAAATCAATATCACGTTAGTCTACTCCTTTAAATATAATTTATTGATTTATTCGAAAAACAATTCAACGTACGTTTTGTTCCATTGCTAAAAATTTTGACATTTCATTAAAAAAGAAATTACTCGCATCAATAAATAATAATAATAACTAATTAGTAGGTTAACGATTAAACGTGAATATTTTACATTCGTATTTTTTGATACGATTAAATAATTGTTGACGGATAATTAATAATTGTTATAAATGCACTATTATAACCTAACTTTAATCGCCATTTGAATGAAAACACATGAGTAAAAAACTAGTGTCATCTCGCGGCTAGTGATCGAAACAGATGCATGCAACGCATGCGCAGTAGTAAGTGCATAATTCGAGTTTCGATATAGATCGAAATCGATTAATCTCGAACGCGTAACATAAATTTATAAAATTTATGAATATACTTATATATCGTACAGTAATAAAATTAAAAAAAAGCGCGTTATAGATATAAAACGAAGAATATAAAATAGATTCACAAGTAAATCGAGTGTTTTTGTGTGTCATCATGATTAAATTTTGGTTTTGTTAAGTTTCAATGTAGATGCAAGAGGGAAAATAAGTGGGGGTAAAGGTATCCTGGCGCTCTTCGGCGCGTTCGTGAACTCGTTAGTCGCGTCATCGCGTAGTAGTGGTGCGTATTTATATAAATAGGTAGGTTGCATTAGAAAGAAAGAAATAGTAAAAGAAAATAAAACGAACTCGAAAATATAACGCGACGATACACAAGTTTGCTTTAGGTATAATCGTGCGTGCCTGTGTGTGTGTGTGTGTGTGTGTGTGTGTGTGACGAATTTGTACACTGTATACGATCAAGTTAGTTAATGTCGAAAGAGAAACAGAAGGTGAATATATAAGGTGTTTGATTGAATCGCATGAAAAATTACTCTCCAAAGTATTTATCGATGAATTAATCGTTGGGGGCAGTGGGATTGTTTGGAATTGTTTGATAGATCATTGATAGGTTTGCGCCGAGCAAACAGGTAGTTGCGAGAGAAGTACGTTGTTCGTGAATCCATTTGTGGTATTGTAAAGTAACTTTCATATCGTAGTTTACGACGAAAGAAAAGAAAAAGAAGAAAACATAAATACGAATGGTGTCATCGTTATTATCATTATCATCATCATCATCATCATCATTCTTATTATTATCGACGTGGAATAAAATAGAAAAAGAAATCGCGCTTGATCTTGGAATAGGTGAAAGAAAGAAGGAAGGAAGGAGGAAAAGAAGAAAGGAGCGATTTTTGAATCGCATTGTAGGTGAGTTTATTCTATTCGAAAGCGTTGACCTATTTTAACGGTCGTCGTCGTTGTCGTCGTCGTATGGTTGCAAATGGTGGTAGGGTTATAAATGTATTTTCGTCTGCTGATTCTTACTTCGGTTTTAATAGTGGCTCACGTGTTACGCATGATAACTTTTCGATATATCCCGTATCAATGTATTGCAGTTGCGTATAATCGATAATCGATTGTTATTTTTCGATTCGAATAAAATTATTAAAATACATTTATTGTTTTACGTAGTACAATGCTGAGACTATTCGTATTGAATCTTGTTTGTTTGTTTTTTTTTTAGGTACACCGTTTATGAAAATAATAGACTGTGATTTAATTATTAAACGAGACACTGACGGTCGTTTTTTCGTTTGGTAGAGTATTTTTCATTATTAACATAATTATACTCGTCTTGGCGTCATCCGACAATGGTGCTAAAAAATTGCTTGCGTGACAATTCGCTGAGATAACGCGCTTGGTTTCATAGTTAATTCTTTAGGTGTGCGTGGGTATTATGCGTGCGAAAGTGTTACGATCTTTTACAATAGTATTACGAAATGACTTATTAGAGCCAATTTATAGCTGACGAGTTTAACGATCATCGTAATACTTCACTTCCAATGGTTCTTCTTGTTATTCCTGATATTACGATTACGTTAGAAGACGAATTTTGATGACTGCACGGATGATCCATCAAAGATTGTTAATCATACTTTTAAACGATATATTTAGATACATTTTATTATCATCGTTTCATACGCATGCTCAAATCATTTCTATATATATATGTATTATGTGCATGCGTTATTTTATACGTGCGTGCATACGTACGTATGCACAAAGTGTGTTAGATTACGGTTAATCTTTCAATAATGCGATTCATAGATCACACCCATAATAGTTTATTTTTGTACTACACGATTTAATCTTGTAATATATTTTTTAATAATTAATTTCATTGACCTATTTAGAGCGTAAAAATTTACAAATAAAAACATAATCTTGTTAAAAAACAATTATTGGTAAGTGAGTGTACATTTGATTCATAAGTAATGATAAAAAATATTAATTGGAAATCGTGATTGGTTGAAATTGGCGCGAGATTTATCGATTATACGATTGGATAACAAACCGAAAGGAAATGGGTGATTTTTTAAGAGTTCTATATTTCTTTACTTTTTCTTTCTTTCAGTTGATTTATATATATCTTTATTTTTTAAACAGTATTTAATTATTTCGAGAGTATCATCAGATAAATTCTATCGTTGATTTTTTTACTTAATCTCAACGACGCAAACGCGTTAACGCCTTTTACGCCCGCATGATAGCAGACGTAATCAATCGGGGCGGTGTTTTCTCATATTCATTTGGTATTTTCGTGAGAATGACCACAAGTTAGTGGCCACCCTCACTATTGATTGTTTATACAAGATTATGTAGAAACAATAATTATTATTTGTATTATTTGTACAAGATGTATGTACGGAGAGAGGGCTGGTCACGAAATAATTGCCACCCCCTTAAGGGTATATTTTATTCTTATGTTAAAATGCTTATTTTTTTTTTTTTTTTTTTTCTAAAAAATGTCTACTAGATCTATGGATAAATTTGTCATATCTTTCGTCTGATCATAAAAATTCAGATCTCTTTCTCAATTATTTTCTTTCTTAATTAGATATTAATAATAAAGAAAAATGGATCAAGGATTTCCTGGGCAACATACGACAACAACCGTCACCACTACGACGACCACCATACAACCAAATGTACGATTTGATCCATCTTATATGCGAACATTGTCTGGTATTCTAAAAATTGTACAAGTGGTAAGTATGCAACGCACACGCCTACATGTGCTAAAACAATTTGAATGAAATCATTCCGCCCATTTATAATATCGTTTCCTCTTTTTCAGATATTAAATTTCTTGGGATTCATATGCATCACCGTATCGATTTACAGTAGCCATAGTCGAGGAGGATGGTTCAATACAGTCGCCATGGGTGGTTTTTGGTTCACCGGTGTACTACTTGTTCTTTATTTATTTCACATCGTTGAGAAGTTCTCCAAAATTCCATGGTTGAAAATCGTAAGATATTTTTATAATCAAATTTCGTTTACTTAGCTCGTAAAAAAAAAGAAACGAGAAGAAAAAGAAAACACATAAAAAAAAAATGCGTTATCTTGTTTTCGTTATCATTGTCTCATTAAAACGACTCGTATCAAACCGTTTGGATTATCGAACCCCCTTTTTATGATGTTATCAAAATAATATTTCATGTAAAACGTTGAATCATTTTTATGCATCTAATATAATACGTATTAAAGACATTAATTTTTTGAAATGAAACCTTCCAAGGCGACTGTAATGATAACATTTTATTAAACGAGATGAAAATAGAGAGGGAAAGAAAAATAAAGTGAGATAAAAATCACAGTCGAGCAGCAATTGAAGAGTATGAATGGTTTTTAATGTTAGTTGAAATGGATGTGTATCTCAGAATTAATTAAATATCTATTAAAGAGAGAATAATATTAAAAGTAAATTTGTTTGAAACAATTACATATATATATATATATCTATTGATATACTTCATCTAATAAAAAATATCTGATTTAAAATTATTTAATATTAATGTATTAATCAATTTAGTAAAGTATACCAATTGCTTATATATCGAATCAATTGATTATTTTCTATATGATAATAAGAGTTTCACTTCTATCATTCGTGTAGACCCACGCAAACATATTTTTTTTTTTCCTATTTTCTTTCCTTCTCTCTTACTCTTTCTTAAAGTGATCTCTCAAGTGAAAGCTCGTTGGAAAGTTTAGTGTATTTATAGAAGTATATAATTATAAGAAAAGAAATGAAAAGAATAACTAACTATGTTTTCTTATTTAAACGTTATGCTATTTAATTTCTAATTACTCGTTAGGAAAAGGTCGATGACCTCTTTCTCTTCCTACGAGAAAACATTGTCCTTTTCAATTGTGCAAATGTTTGTCTTCACAGGAACTCATATTCTGTTCGATTTGGACGATATTTTATCTTCTGGCTGCTTCCTTGGCAGCCGATTATGGTCGAGTTTCTGAATCATTCGCGGTTGCAGCGGTGAGAACATTTACATTGATAATAAATAGAGCCCAAAAAAGTATTATTAAAAATTTAAAAATTGTTTTTCGGTCTTTTTATTTTTTTTTTCTTTTTGTGTTTTTTACAGTTCTTCGGTTTTTGTGCCATGGTAGCTTATGGTTACGACGCATGGTTAAAGTTTACTGCAGTTAGAAGTGGAGCTTTGGCTCAGGGTCAGCATATGCCAAAACAAGTGTCAACTGTTACCAGTCCCGCGTATTAAATTTATCTAGGTATTTGTTTCAAATATATACGACACATGCCTATATAAAAATCGATGACGAAAGAGGGAATATAAAATCGTATGATTACCTACCAATCTCGTAGGAAGATCTATCGAATTAATCATCCATTCGTATATGATCATCATTCATGTGTGATCATTTTATGTATTTATATCGTACAAACTAATACATATCCATTATACTCATCTAAAGACTTTTTTGAAATTTATATATATATAATATATATGTTTTTTA